ATTCACGGGAAGACCCCGGGGGACCCCTGACCTGCCCTCAAACCAAGACGCTGCCCCCAGGGCCCACCCAGCCCTGCGGGCCCGCCCCCGGGGCCCTGTATCTCTGATCATTTCCCTTGCCTCCCGGCCGGACCACCCGTAGCAAGGAACCGGCCCTCCGCCCGGCCTTCCTTCGGGCGCCCGGACATCGCTTCCGGCCGGCCCGGTCGGGCGGGTGAGGGCGCGCTCCCAAGGCTGGAGGTTTAGGGGCACCGCGCGCCGCTGCCGCCCTCTCGCTGCCGCCGCGACCCCGCAGCCCCGCTCCCTGCGCCGCCGCTTCAGTGGGTCCGGCCCGCGCGTCCCCCCGCAGCTGCCGCGGCCACCGACCCCGGAGCGGCCGCCATCTTTGTTTTTGCTCCGAGCTCCTTCCCCCACCGCCGCCACCGCCCCCTGGGTCTCTTAGTCACGTGACACGCGAGGGCCAATGGATGCTCCGCTTGGGGCTAGCCGGTGCGGCGGGCAGAGCCAATGAGCGCGCGGGGCCCGCCCCTGCAGAGTGGGCAGCGAGGGGCGGGGCCCAGGGAGACCCGCGGCGGGCGCACCTGGGGCCGCGGGGGAACTGGCCGCGCTTCGGGTGGGTCCAAGGCGCGGCCCACGCGCCGCTGGTCACCCGAGAGCCTCACATTAGGGTGCGCCCGCGCCTTTGTCCCCCAACCCTCGAGCTTACGTGGACTCGATCTGGCTCACTAGATGGATAAATCCCGCGGCCACCCCTCGCCCTCCGGAGCGGGAATAAATGTGCGTCCACCGGACGCCAGCGCGGGGACCGCCGGAAGGAGCACTCCAGGCCCGAATCTGACTCCCTGCGCTGCCCAATCTGGTTTCCTAACCCGGGGGTAGGGAGCTGAAGGGTCCACAGAGGAAAGTGAGGCCTTGCCTTGCACAGGCTGGAGGACAGGCAGGTAGAGGTCCAGGCAGCGCTGGGAGGGAGTGTGCGTTTCTGGGAACAGCTGCGGTACAAACCTCCCTTGTCCCCACCCCAGCCAGCAGCCTATATGGTCACTGCCCAGAGGCCCACCTGCCAGGCTATGCCAGGGTGTTCAGAACTCCTCCATGTCCCCGGAGAGCGGGCTCCCAGGATTATGTCTTCTCAGTCCAGGTGCCAGCAGGCGGCAGGGTGGGCGAGGCCCTAGGCTGCTTTCAGTGCATCCCCTTCCCTTGCTCCGGGAATCCGGTTGCTGACCTGGGAGCTTTAGAAAGCTCAATCCCTCTCAAGAATGGGCAGATTCCATATTCCTGCAGAATCCCTAAGGTTTATTGGAGACCAAGCCTCTCTCTGGATCCACAACCATAGCCTGCTCAGAATCAGACCCCCAAATGTGCTTGGATCCCATCCCCTTCATCCTGGTCTAGGCGGGTCCTCACACTCCACCAGAGGACCAGTGCCCAGATTCTGCCCCAGAGGAGTCACCCTGCATCAAGCCCCCTTTGGGAGGAAGGAGAGTCTATCTCTAGGGAAGGAGGCCCCAGGAGGTGAGGTGGTAACCAGGGCAGAAGCCCAGCCCAGCAGTCTCCAAACATCACTCCCACTGCAGGCGCTGTGTGTGCAAGGCCCGGTGGTAGGCCCAACTGCCCGCGGCCAGGACCCAGCGACAGATGTCCTCCTTCGGCAGCAACAGCAGCCTGTCCTCCTCCAGCCGGCCCAGGAGGCCTGCAGCACCCAGCATCAAGCCCCCCCACATGCCGTAAGTGTTGGTCGTGAAAACAGCCACAATGAGAATAGTAACTGCCACCACCAGCACCACTGCCTGACCAGCCACAGAGCGGCCCTCCGCACCAAGGTGGTCACCAGCCACTGCCAGCACCATGCCTCCTCCCAGGAGCAGGTTCGCAGAGGAGCGGTCCCCATTCACCCAGTGGAAATCGAAGGCCAGAAGGGGCAGGCCAATGACAGTGGCCACCCAGGCTCCAGCAAGACAATCTTCATCTGTGCCTAGCCCTGGAGCCAGCATGGTGGCAGCAGCCAAGGCCTGGAGCAGGAAGCCAGCAGCAGCCCCTCGACTTGCCTGTCAACACAGGGAGGGGAGATGTGGGGAAAAGAGGCCAGGACCTTCCTTTAAACAGGGGAGGGCCTAAGGGGGTCTCATGAAAGCCTGGACTCCAGACTCACCTCTCACCACCCTCTCCCTGACCCAAGGAACTGGCTAGGTCCCTGGGGTTCGGGAATGGGAGACTCCCTTACCCAGCCCCTGTGTACTCACCTGGGCAGTGCTCAGGGCTGCATGCAGAGACACCACTCCCAGCGCCAGGTGGGACAGGGCCATGCTCCACTCACCC